GAACAACCCACTCTAACATGTAAAAATAAGGATAATGCTACATGACACGCGCGTAATGTATTGTTCCAGTTACTAGTTAAGTGTGTAATTACTAGTAAAATGTGATAAAATTTCACAAAGCTCTCATAAAATTCTTTGAAATGCCGTGTTGTCCCGCGATTACAATATTTTCAGGATAAATTTTAAAAGATGAAAGGTAATGTAAAAAATAATTATAATGTATTAATTATTAATTCACCGAAATGATTCGACTATTAACTAACTTATCAAGAGAACGGAACAACCCACTCTAACATATAAAAATAAGGATAATGCTAAATGACACGCGCGTAATGTATTGTTCCAGTTACTAGTTAAGTGTGTAATTACTAGTAAAATATATGATAAAATTTCACAAAGCTCTCATAAAATTCTTTGAAATGCCGCGTTGTCCCACGATTACAATGTCTTCAAGATAAATTAAAAAAAATTCTCTCCGTGCGTATATCCATGCAAACTGGAGCAATCGTAGTTGAAGTATTAAACGGGGCTCATTTAAGTGAACAAACGAAAAACGCTTTGGATCGGGTAGCACACGGTGGTTGTTATTAAACCGGATCATAAGCCGCCGTGTAAACGCGGCCATTCAACGGATCAGTCGCGGTATCATGAACATTTTACGTAACACACATTTATACACAAACAAATCTCTTCTCACCGACGAAATATTGCTTGCCTGCCTTTTACAGATGCCGGTCAATTCGCAGCGGGGGAGGGGCGTGTGTAATCCGCCGCTTTACCCGTCGGCCTTTCAACCACTGATCGATCGACCGCCGCTCAATGAAGCGTCTTTGGTATAATTCATTCATCCCGGTGGTGGACGAGCGCGCGAGCTGGGGTGCGAGAATAAATGAGGCGCGAGCTTCGCGCGGCTACGCGGCCGCGATATGATAATGAGGTGGTTTTGCGGAGGCGCGGCTCATCCGCACGCGCGCGGAAAGACGGATCGACGGGCGAATTCGGCGGGGGGCGACGGAGAAATCGCTCGCGGTTCCCGCGAGCGGCAGCTCCGCGGGAAAATGGGGGAACGCGGGGCGAACGTTGGAAAAAAAACTGTATAAGCGGCACTTCTAACGTATTTACATAGGTTCTAATTTGCATTTCAGAGAGACGGGGGATGCTTGCGGCGCGTGCGATTTGCATCTTGCCATGTAAATACTGACGGACAAGCGGGAAAACGTTATCAGGCCCGCCGTCGTCTCCGCCGCCAACAACGCGGGCGGAAGATACGGGCGGGAAACGGTTCCCGGGCGCCGAGTTATTTTTCTGATTTCGCGGCACGTCCGGCGAAATATTAATGCAACACGCGCGGCGTGTAACAACTACTGTAACGCGTCCCCGGAGAACGCGGGACAAACTTTAAAGCGACCATCGATCGGGCCCGGTCGCTGAAATGTATCGGCGGTGTCTTTATGCATAACACGCGATATATTATTGACGGCGCCCCGGGCCGTTGTATTCCGGAATTGGTGGCACGTCTGGCGAAGCGTATCTCCTCGAACGAATTAAGAATGGTATTATCGGGGCGTCCCGACGAGAATAAACGCGGGATAGGAATAAGACGCTGAAATAAAAGCGAGAGTAGCGTAGCGCTTCCCGAGTCCGCGACGCCCCGGGAAAGCGTAAATGTTACACGGGACTATTTGCATAAATACGAGGCGCCATCCGCTGAAATTCCGCGGGGGAATTCCGCGTACAAAAGGAAACCGCGGAGCTCGCGAGGCAGCCGGCTCGTTGCGGCAAGTGGAAGAATAATAACGAACAGGAGAACCGTTCTCGCTGACGAGAGGATTTTCTTCCGGATGGCGGCCCCGCCGCGGCTTCGCGGCACGTAAACCTTAATTAACGTGGACCAATTAAAAAAAAACACACAGAACCCGCGGGCGCGCACCCGCAAGGCCGCGTAATTGCATCTGGACAGCGAAGGAACTCGTTTACCCCCCCCCCCCCCAAGTTTTTGGATCTCGCTAGCCGCGCGACGATAGCCCTCGGGAATTATATTTTTCTCTCGGCACTCGATTACACGTTCGGTTACACCGTTACGATTCGAATCGCCGGCTCGCGGAAATTGAGTTGCCTTTCTGTTCGACGTTGCCCGCGATATCGCCGCTTTCGCGGCCGAGAGAGAGAGCGCCCTTAAATTCGACATTTTTCCAACGCATGGCGCGCAAACGAAACCAGAGACAACCGCGGAGGTAAACGAATAAGAAATTAAAAACGCATTAATCATTCCGCGCGCGTATACTTCGGCGATATAATTTTCATATTAAACGTGTTAAAATAAATCAGCCAATCTTCGCGCAATTCGGATTACGGGCATTCGTCGGCCGCGGCTTGATTGCAATGAGAACAAATAATTGCGAAATGTAGAATTCGTCAAGAGAATTCGTAAAAGTGACGTCGATTAAAAACGAATTCCCGGGAGAAAATAATTTCTTTTCCAGCCACCGATAATCGCCGTCCAGAGCAGATCGACTCAGTTGCCACGTTCATTTTTACGCAATAAATTTAGGAAAAGGATAAATGGAGGAATGAAGCGAGCCCTCGTGAAATGTTGACGAGATGTACGTCAGAGGACACGAGACACGTGCGTCGATTGATCCAACGAATCTTCCTCCTCGCACAAAGCTTTAATTTTCCTTCGGAGACGCCAAAATATAAAAAAAACTGTCTACGCCGACGGCGTTAGTTGTCGTACGAAACTAAAATACGTATATATATATATATAAACAATATTAATTGTTTATACACGAAAACATATGTTTTGCGCAATATGTGAGTGAGGGTGTATCTTCTCGCGCGACTTCGCAGGCTCGCGTACATTTTGCGTCTCGGCGAGCAAGCGCGCGGAAAAATCAATCCGCGCGAACGACAAATGTCCCTGACGGTCGCGATCCCGCGCGAGATCGTGTCAAATTATGCCATTAATGTTCAGACTTCGACGTATTATCTAACTGATGGCCTAGCCCTTAAGGATAACGATCAGCGTGGGCGTTATTGCGTTAACGACCTCGCTGATGTGTCGAAAATGCGACTCCGCGTCGCCGGATGCTCGCGAGATCGATTCGTCATAACGACGTACGTGTGCGATACGTGGGCGCGCGCGCGTGCATGTGTGCGAGTTCAGGGGATTACGACTTACCGAACGGCGTACAAACAAGCAACGAGGAACGGGGCTTGCACGAGCTCGGATTTGTCGTACGCTACGGGCAGTTGAGCGAAATTACATTAATACGGCTCGTACAAATAATAACCGCGTGGTCCCGTGATACGCAATCTATCTCGTGAATTTCCCCTTACGGAAACCGGAAGTCCCGAAGATTCATTTTTCCCCGCTCCCGCGCGGCCAAGTGCGTCCCGTCGAAAACCGGGAGAAATTTTCCGAGACGCATTTAAAAAAAAAAGCTATATCACGTAATTAGAGAAAATGTAAAATTATGCAAGAAGCTCCAAGTTTCGCGCACTCGAGAGGAAATGAGCGAAGCGAAGTCCTTTCGAGCGAAAGAGGACCTCCGAAGCTTCCTCTAAAACAAAATAGAAGAAAAATTACACCCCGTACTTTCTCCGTTTAATCGGCGAGCTCCAAGGCGCAATTAAATTCGAATTCGGACGCATTTCGATCAGTTCCGCCCCGTCGGATCACTTCTGGGCGCGCCGACGCTTCCGCGTGACATTCCGATTTCGCGCTGTACAGCGCCCGACCCTGTCATCGCTCCCGTACAATCCTGGCGATCAATAGCCAGCTGAAGGAAGCACATGTGACAGACAAGATTGCGCATCGCCGGCGGGAAAAGACGCCGCTCGTTTCCGCGCGCGCCTCGGGAGGAAAGGAAAATCCGAGCTCTGTTTATTACGTTGCTAATCCTCGCGATCGGCCGCGAGGGAGGGTTTCCGCTGGCTCGACAGACGGCGCGCTCTCCCGCTCTCCCGCACAATCGCAAAATCGATGCCACGGCACGAAGGACGACCCTCCGGTTACAATCTCCGACCGTTTTCCCCCCCCGATTTAAGTCGCGTTACCGCGCGCCACCCCCTTCTTTCTCGCTCGCAATGCTCATCTGTACATTACACGTCCCTATTTACAGAGCGATATACATTATACTGTCCAACTTCTATAAAAACTCGTCCCGACTGTGGCAGCGACCGTGGCAGCTTCGATATACAAAACCGCTGCAAGTTCGTTGAGAGACTTTTCTTGAGTGTACGGGCGTGATCGCGGCTCGGCCGGCTGCCCCTTCGTCGTCGGCGGCGGCGGCGGCGGCGGCGGTCAATAATTTTCAACTGGCGCACAAGCGGCGATCGGTTCGAGAAACGTACACTGAAAGAAAAGTCTGATAGATTCAGCCAGTCGTCTGTTAGAAAATGGACGAATCAGAATTCCTTTAGAGGGAGATATTTCGTAACCAGTTTGCTAGACTTCGCTACACATCTGGTAGATCCTAAAGGAATTCCGATTCGTCCATTTTCCAACAGACGACCGGTTGAATCTATCAGATTCTTTTTTCAGCGTGCGGATTGATTCCCTTACAGATTTCACGGTGAAATTGGCCCGCTTAGATCGTCGATACCGGAGGAAATGCTACATACAAAATACACTCGCTCGTAAACGGTTCAACGTCCCAGGTTGTTTCTCGCATTGTCGACTTCCTCGAGACAAACGGAAGGATCTCTGCTGGACCTGTTCCCGCTGGTACCGGGCGCGGTGGCTCGGACCAGTCGCGAGTAACAGTCGTCCCGGAAGTCCGTTACCAGCGAAACGTTACCGGCAGGTTATCGATATGCTCCATGGAACTCCGCTCCGTGAGTCTCTTCCGCGGGTATACGGCTGAGTATACAGTGAGTACAAGGTATACAACGAGTAAATCGTGAGTCGACGAGGTCGATAACACAGTTTCCACAAGATATGTCTATCTATTTAAACAACGAAACTCAATCCATCCATTTTACAGCTTGATAATCCGAGAAATAAATGTTATCCGCAATACACGTCTACCCCTCTCGATACCGTTCTTTGTATTTCGGAAGGGCGGCAACGCTCCCGCGGTCTGAACCGGTGTCTGAACGCGTTCCGTGCCTCCTGCGACTTGAACGCGCAGTTCAAAAATGCATGCGGTGGTCCTTAAAGCTACCCTTCAATCCTATTAGAAGAAACCACTCCGAGCCTCCTTACGCACATCGGTCTACAAGTCGATCCGCATCGCTCCCTCGCCTCGCTGCGTAACGTCGCAGCGAGACAACGCAAGCTACTGGGCGCCTACTTTCCCACCCTCGCCTTTGCGCCTGACGACAAGATTATACATTGCTAATCGAGAATCTTTTCGCGGAATCCTCGAGATGGACGACACGTTTACAGATATACAAGTCCCTGTCGTTAACGAGCGTCGACGGGCGCTCACCACCCGCGGCGTCCGACGGCCGACAAGTCTGAGATCGCACTGTCACAATGTGGCGTACCACGATTCGGCGCAACAAACGATAACTCGTTCAACGTCTTCAACGTAATTTACAGCGGCTTGGCGCCCGCCTCTGCCGTACCGTTTCTTCGCAATTAAAAGCAATATTTTCGCGTGCTAACTTCCGGTACCGGGCTCAAGGACGGGGGTCGTCCCTCGCGCGGGACAACCCCTTCCTCCTGTCAGCCGTAGTAGTAGCTTTTGCTGTTGAGGTTCCGGGGATTCTCCGTGCAGAGAATCGTGTGGAGGTTGTCCGTGCCGACCATGTGGTTGCCAAGGTCGACGCGCATCCCCGTGTTGGTCGCGTGAGGCACCGACGTGGCGTGGATGCTCGTCGGCGACAGCGGTATCCTCGCGTCGCCGTAGTAACGCTCGCCGTGGAGCCTCTCGGCCAGCTGGGTCTCGGGTAATCTACAAGTAATCGGGAATATAATTAGAAGACGAGAACGTTCGTGAAGCTCTGCCGCAACAAGTACGGCCGCGACGAGAGAGTCCCAGAATCGCAACCCTCTGTTGTCGAGATCGGAAGAAACGGCGGAAATTGTTTTAAAAATCCCCGAAACAATTGGCGTGCGATCACAATTCTCACGCGAAGCCTGATTGAACGAATATGCAATGTGCATGTCATAAAACTTCAAAATTAAAATTCACAAGCAATCACCTATTTTTCAACGTACATAAATAAGTGCTTTTTATTTACAATATTTTTAGCGCTCCTTAGATAAATTCGCCACACGCGCGAATAAATTTTTCGAAGCCTCTCGAGGCTTCGAAGTTAAATTCGAACTTCGAAGCTTCGACGATTTCGAAGTTATCAAAAGTAACAGCCCCACTTTTCACCGCCCTCCCGCGCTTTGATCCAACACATATCTAGAGCGATCGGTTACTTTAGATTGAAATAACAGCGAAAACACGAAAATAAAGCACCCCGAAGTGATTTTATTAACTCACGTGATAACGGAGGAGGGTTATTCTTCTCCTGTCGGAGAGTGGGAGGGAGGGGGAGAGAGATTTACCTTGCGTCTTGCATTGGCACTGCGACTGGCGTGGTGAGATCGATGTCGGCGTCGATCTCGGAAATATCGTCGGTGAATCCGTTCGGCAGGGTCTCGTTATTCGCGTGGAACTTCGCGTCCCTCTTGGCGCGATGTCGGCTGAATAACAGTCGGCCGATAACCAATCCCAGAAAGAGCAGGATACCGGCGCTGACCGATACGATAATGTAGAGGTAGAACTTCTCTTGGTTGTCTGCGGAAATCACGTTAAACGAGCACTTTAAAAACCTCGCGTTCCTCCCCTTGCGTTCCCACCCTTTTCCCCGCGGAAATGTCGACAAGAGCAGACTCGAGCGTTGCACAAAAGGAAGACGATTTCGTTTCTTCCAACTCGTTTTTATTCGCTTAATAATCTGCCCCTGTACGATCGCCAATCTACATTGTCCATGTAGACTGCCTACGTGCGCGTAGACAAGCGCATCCAGCATGACAAATAAAACTCGGGGAACAATAAAACAAAAGGGAAAACCAATCCACATGCTGTGCTAATTATCGCTACTAGAAACAATGCAACGTCAAACACACAATGCTCACATTTGCCAGTCGGGAATCAATCAGCAGTTACATCTATCATTTCGGATCCATCATTTCAATGTTTTCGAACGTCGAGAGGCCGGAATAGCCGGTCAATTTTGACTAGTTTTGTTTCGGACGCCATAGACAAGATACAAAAGAAAAACTGACGCGCTAATTGAGGCGTAGCGGTTAAAAAACATAAGGCACGTTTCTCCAGGATTATCCAAAATTGAACTGTTTAATATCAACCGAAGACCTCGTCAGGCATCAAGGTATCTTTCTCTATGCACATGTACCATAGGATGCTCAGGCAGCTACAAGAACAAATACCTGTCGCCGACCCTTGCCCCCGCGGGGAAAACTACCCTATCGTATCCGACCCTGGCGAGAGTCGTCGGGGGTCGATAGGAACAGCGCGCTTTACCAGCTGAAAGTAACGATCGACCGTTGGTGTACTCACTCGTTATGAAGGAGTAGGCATTGATCCACTCATTCAGGTATCCCACCACTAAGTGATCCTCCTCGGGAAACGCGTAGACGACGGTGGTGCAATTCCCGGACATGCTGGAACTCGTGGACCCGGCATTACCAACCCCGCCGTCGCTCGCCATTGCGCCCGCCTGGATAACCGTGGGCGGTAAAGGCGGTAAGGGTAAATCTTTCGCTCCGATACCGAGCGACTTTAACATGTTCAACCGCGCGTCCACTGTGCACGCGAGAAACAAACGTGAGGGGGGAGTGGCAGTTTTGCAGCGGTTGCGTAAGAGTTCGGGGCTTGGACGTTTGGAGACCAAACGTAATTTCGGCGAGCCCAACTTCCGACGCCGCGAACGCGGGGGAAAACTTTACTACACCCAGAAAAAGGATTTATTTAGGTTGAACGAAAATGAGACACGTTGAGATCACGTACCTGTGAACGTACTAAATTTTTGTTTGCCGAAACATTTGGATTTTGAAGAAGCAGAATTTTTGAAGAGGTAGAAATATTTCAGTCTTGATCAAATAAACTTTTGGTTAAGGTAAAGAAGTCATTTCTTTGAAATTAAACAAAGAGTTTAGTCAAAATTCAAAGAAAATTTGTTTCATTTCAAAGAAACTTTTTTCTGGACTATCTCCATCGTTCACGAGGAGACCAAGATCGCCTTCGAGCGTCTCCGGAGCGTCGAAATTTGGCCCCACCGAAATCATATCAATTTCAAGCTTGAGCGCGGGGTGAAAGCGTCAGAGTAAAATTTGCGCAAATTACGTAGCTATTTTACAGCGCTGATAGAAGAGCCTCGGGGATAAAACACTGCGCAACATTGGTCACATTTTAAACGCGCTTTCGTATTGAGGAAATTTTACATTTGGAAATTGTGTGCGAAATGCATGATGCGCAGTTTGTGGTATTGTAAAATACGATATGTTAATTACAGTAGGCAGGACAAAAAATATTAGCAAAATTACTAATTAGTCACTGTGTTATTTACAACGAGAGGGCATGATCGATATTTTCCACCAAATATGATGTTTTTTCGGAGCGTTTAACGCGAGGTACAGAGAGCTGTACCATCACGCAGCAATTGTATGCGCCTACGTTGAAAATACTATAAATAATACATTGAGTAAACATTGCACAACGTGACAATGCTCTGCGGTTATAATTAAAACGAATATTAATCTGGCTCTGCCGTTCAACATTTTATACACAGTTTGTAAATTCAAAGTGCAGCTCCAATTACAATTTTCTGCAAAATCTAGTAACGTCTGCATCACGCCACTTTGCAGCAATATCAATTCGCTAATTTTATATTATTACATCGGGCTTTAAATTAGATTAACGCGTCATTAATTTAATTTTATTCGCGGAATAAATATACTCGATGCGAATATCCGCAATTTGGCAATTTAGACTAATAACGAAGAATGTAATAGCTGTTTTTCCCAATGCTTTGTTAAGTTTCGGCGAATGTACATTGCGCGACCCGATATGCGTGTGCCTGTACCTGTGTGCCAGTGTGCGTGCGTACGTGTGTACGTGTACGTGCATAATGCAAATATGTTTTTCCAACAAACTTCCACAGCGTGAATGATTGATTATATCATAACACCCCTAATAGTCCCTACCGAATGAATCATGGGAGCTGTTCGACGCAGCTCTCGTCACCCTGAATACCATTATTTTCGCAAAAATTGCAATTTAAACAACAGAATTACTCGATCATTCAGTCACCCAATCGTTAAAATTTATGACTTTTTTCACGCCCGTTGAACCAAATTTAAAGTATGGAATGAAAGGTTCGCGCGGCAAGCCGTGCCATTCTGTCTCTCTCCACGGATCGCGGGACTTAAATGGCACATATTATAGTATTCCTGGAGCGCTTCACGGTCTTCCGGATCCCGGCTTACTTTTCGCCCGGGTTATTTTTCAGGAAATAACCGCACGTATGTGTATCTCCGAACGTCAATGGAAATGGAGAAACGAAATTAAGTATAGACGAAGTAGTTCGTATTTTTGTTGCCGGATATCGACGAGATATTACATAAAGATCGTAGTTAGCGCTGCAGGTATACGCGGCTTTCAAATGCACTGCAGGTGTCGCACGAAATTGCGGCGACACTCGAGTTCTAAGACATCGCAGCAAATTTTTCGAAGATGGAAAATTCGTCTGAAACGCTGTTAAATGTTGACACTGGCCATAAACGATGGGAAAATTTATTCAAGCGACTCAGACGGAGGATTTTTAATTCAACTCACTGTACCATTTCATTCTATTCTATGCACAACGCGCACGATACGCTCCGTTATAGAATGACTGATCCAAGCGGACTTAAAGGTGACGAATTACTCGGACACGACGAGTCTCGCGAAGCAGTTCCGCTGACGCGACAAAACCGAGGAAAGTATCAGCATATCGCGATGCTGACACACACTTATCAAGATTACTTGTGCACTCCACGTAATTAATTGTATTTTGGGATTGTTGACGATTCGTTTTCTTCCGGAATTCGAGTTTGGTGAAACAAAAAATATGACTTTGATGTGCACCTTTGTTTTATATTCCATTAAACAATGAAACACCTCCGGTGCGTTCGTTTTGATAATATACTGTGCACGAAATAGCACAGAATCAGTGCGTTCATTGGCAAGTTTCCGCGGGGCTTAATGCTAATGTCTTAGCTTCGAGTTATTTACATCATAATTCAAGCAATATGGTTCTAGTTCTTTCGGCCGCGCTGTTTCGCCAAGCTTGCTATCTCTCCCGAGCGAGATAAACGTTCGCAGTTTCTAGTTTTCTAATTAGGGACTTGGGAATGCTTACAATTAGCCGACGACATCGCGGAATTCCGTTGCTATCCCGTCGCGCGAGTTGTCGCTATTTACAATCAAATCGTACCTAAACGGTGATAAAATTTTCATGGGAAATCCGACTCGAAGAACTGATGTTCTTATAACGTCGCTGTACCGAGATATCTTTTACACGTGAAAATAAGAGGAAATGAAAAGACAAAACGCGCATTAGTTGCCACATGTTAGCATAATATGATTGCGACACGTGCGTATAGATCACTTTGAGAAATATAAGGATTTGTGCAGACGTCGTTTTTGCAGACGTCAATTAATTACGTGTACCACAGCTTTTAATCGCTTAATGAGCTCTGATACAACGTTGGTACTTTTATCAGTAATTCCGAAGGTGATAAGCAAAGATAAGAAAGACGAAGCGTAATAATAGAACACGACTCACTTACGCTGAGCGTCTTTTCAGATATGCCGATTACAAGTACAGAAATGGGAATGTTTCTCTAGTACTTTTGTCTTCTCATAACAAATTATTATTACATGCATATACGCGATAATAATTGAAAGCACCATTTGCGGGTGGAAAGTGGAGTAAGATTGAAGGAAACGAAAGAAAAGATGGAACGCGCCTTAACTACTACGTTGACATAATGTTACTTAACATTACCTTACGCGGTGTATCGAGTGCGCGCGGCGTATCTAATTATTACACTGAAAACGTTCCCCCCCGTGAGCCTTAGACGAATTTACTCAGTGACTAGATAATAGCTCTGTCTGACGTGAGTCTTCAAACATACACAGAGTTACGTAATTATATTTGTGTCTTATAGCAAGTGGATATATGATTTCAGTCTAAGCCGGCTAATTATGTTACCAAAGGAAACTACGAGTACAGTGTATTTATCGTTATGAATATATTCCAGCTAAAGGACCGTGATTCGGTACTTTGATTCATAATTTATGCTGAATTTAACGGGACTGTTTCCTCGTTACATAACTGTGAGTTTTGAAAAGCAATACTTCGACGCGTTTAGCGTCACGATGTTAGAGGAAAGTCCCCTATTATGAGGGAGACTTTTAATATGAGATAGCGGGTTTCCAACGTCCAAATTTAACTAAACGCCACGCGAGAAAATGCCAACTCTGGGAAAAAAGACAGCAGCCCGTTTTGGGGTCCACAATTAGTAATCGAATAATTAATAACTGTCTTTGTTTCCCCAGGGAATGCGGGTCCAAGGCAAGATGTAGGTAGCCCACACCTGTAATTCTTAAAATGTGAATTCAAACTTAATCACCAATCTTCGTTCACAATGAATACACGATCTAACAATCAATTTTCCACGAATTCACTCCAGATTTCACTCCAAGGGCGATAAATTCGCGATGAAACCAATAGACGATGCCTATTAATTTAGCAAAAACCCTGCTATCTCGTAATAGGAGCTTGTCTCATTATAGGGGACTTACTCTACTACACAATAATTGATTAGAACTGGATATAATTAATACTACAGTAATATTTTTCTGCGCGTTAAATCGCGATAACGAGGGGGTTAAATGAATTTCACGAATTCGGAGAGCATCGATAAAAATATCGAAAATGAAACGAAATAAAAGATATTGTACGAGAAAAGGAGAATATGGGAGCCAACTAATATTGAACATCTCGTTGAGAACCGTAGGAACATGGGCGCGAAATCCGTGCCTTTCGCTCGAGATGGCAATCGATCGTCCATGAAAGTTTAATCGCAGTACCGCACATTTCATATTTTATCCTTCATGAAGTATGCAATGCGCCCAGAGCTGGATGTACACTTGCACTCCCATGTTTTCTCGGCAGTTTTTAGCACAACGCCGTATTTCATTAAAAATAAAGCTATCTTTTTGTTTAATCAAACGGATGCGTAAACTACTCACGATTATCGCCAGAAATAATCTTCGTTTCGCAATATGGCGTTGAAAAATTGATCAGTACCATTAATCAATATCGCAGAGCGACGTTGTGTTGTTAAACGCAATCTGTATACAATACATGGAAAAGCACGTATTATCGACGAGAATTAATTTGTTTATTGTAACAGCGCTGAAAATTATTGTAATAGCGTGTCTCAAATTATGAAAGTATATTAGACTCAACTTGCGTGCGCAAATCACGTGTATGCCGAAAGACATAAAAGCGATATTCAATTATCCCCGCTGTAAATAATCCCTCGAATTCGCAAAACGCAATTTCGTTTCGCATGCAAAATTAGATATCCCACGCATTTGCAGCGGAAAAACGATAAACACGAGTCTATCATTAAAAAGAGAGAGAGAGGGGGGAAAAAGCGTTTCGTACAGAATTCCGTAACGGCAGAGTGTGTGCGCACCGGCGAACGAGACGTGACAAAGCCGAAAAGTTATCGCGGATAAAATAGGAGCGAATGCCGTTGCTTTTACTGCGTAAACATTTTTATTCCGCGGCGAAATAATTTCTCGTCGGGCTCGCTTCTCGTAAAAACGTTATGCACTGTCGCTAATGCGAGCTGCACACAAACTGCGTTCCCTGCGCTGCGGCGAAATTATCATTCGTGTTGCACATCCGCGCGAGCTACGTGCACTGCGCGATCGAAA